GAACATCTATTTTTTTCCTGTAAATGAGCTTCTCAAGCTTTCATCCTGCAAACCACACATCTGGTCATCTTTCTTTTTTGTTGTGTCTAAAAGCAGCCATATGTCATCAGCAACCCTCTCATGTATATTGAACTTCCTTAGCACATCAGCTTGTCTCTTTGAATGTGTTACCTGATGTCTTTAAAGTGGCAAAACACAGAAAAATGGATCCTCCTAGTCCTTTGTTCATCAGACCAGTAAGAGTCAAGAATATCGTAGAGATGGTGTTTAGGCCCGTGTTCCATATCTATTCTAGCTTTGTTTTTTAATTTCTCCTTGCTTTAGTTCAACTAGCAGAATATGGCTCAAATCAGCTTTATGCTATCCAGTAGTAAATTATGGCTATCTTTTACTGATAGGGAAGGCTCAGGACTACCAGGTGCTGGTGTGTTTGGTGTTAGATCATCCACAACAACTCTGATTCTCCAGCTCAGTCAGTCTGTCCAGGTGCTTTACTATGTGCTCACCATTTTTATATGGGTGGTCTTCTCTGGGAATTAACAGAGATATAACAACCACCTTTCTGCTCAGAATGTAGGCATCAGTGCTTCAGAACCATTTCAATGTGTCCAGCAGCATGTATGCGCATAACAGAGAAGAATATTTATTCTAAGAAAACTAGATCAAACAGCCAAGCTTTAATTAAATTTGAAAAGCGTTTGGTTCAGGAGATACCCTCAACCTTTTCTAAAAGCAATCTTGGTTCTGAATTTCTGTATGTGAAGGTCCCCCTTCTCCTTCACCGTTTAGAGTGGCATTACACATTGAAGAGATCGAGAAGATTTTGATGTGATGAGATGCACGACATCTTAGGTAACTAGGACCATGATTTAAATGGAATTCCACCAAGGCATAGTCTGTCAGGGGAATGTGCTCATAGCACTTTCTGTTGCTGTTGAATGTTGAAACTTCTGAAATGTAAGTGGTTTCTCTCCTTCTTAAATGAGTTGCAGTCATCATATAGAATCAGAAATGCACCCATTTTAGAGCTCAGTCTTGTGTCTGAAGCAAGGCCTTATCATCTGTAAATAGAGCACTAGGTGTTTTGTGGCACTGCTATTTGACCACCAGTAGCGCTGAAGAGTTCATGAGATACCCATGGTTACCTTTGTGACAAAGTGATGATATATACTCAGTAGAATGGGAATTTTTAGAGGTGGTAAGATTTTCAAAGCTCTGTCCTTTTTTATGGGTGTTAACTCATTTTTTACTGAGGTTCACATTTAAACAGACAATTAAGGAATGCTTTTAGTAGGCTAAGAAAAGTTAAAGGATGTCAGTGTATTGTTTAATACTGCCTTTTGAAACAATCTCTAGCATTTTGTACTCTTTATGCTTTTTAAGGGTGAATGATTTAGATTCTTTCACCTCCTGATTAGAAACTCCCATCTGTGTTCCTTCCTCTGAATTTAGCTTTCTAAATAAGAAAATAAACTAATCTTATATGAAATTCTATAACCTGTACCTCAGTCTAAGTAAAATTATTATCTATATATATATAAACTCCCAAGTCTAAAACCAAATCCAACTATGCTGGGCATGGATAGCACATAAAGACAGCTGTTTATTATCTTTTAATTTATTCAAAGCAAATTGACCACATTTTCACAGAAAAAAAATACCTTTAAATCACACAGGACAGCACTGAAAAGCCATCATTAAACAGCTCAAGATCTTGCCTGCACATTTGCAATGCATTTGGCAGGGTTTGGGTCATGAAATCACAACCCTTAGATGTTCAGAGCAAAAGGAGCACTATGGCACTCTTCTTCAGTACATATCTGTGTTTTTAAGGCTATAATGACATTCACCTGCAAGAGATTTGCAAAGCAGGTAAAGCTGTGACCTGTACCTTTAATTCATCTCAGCTAGTTCCATGATGATGAAGTGATCTATCATCATTGCAACCATACTAGAGGGTATATTCCTACCAGAAAGTTTAGCCACTGCAGGTGTGACTGGAGTAACATCTCCTGGCATCCAGCAGTGTACAGACTAAACTATAGCTTTTAGTTAAAGAATATGGAAACTGACAACAAATTATTATTTGTGGTCTTTTTCTAGTTTTCAAGTGCAAGCATATCAAAGTTTATTTTAAATCTGAGCCAGTCAGACATTTAGTAATATAGATCAAAGAAGAAATGAAGGCCTCCCATGCTTATTATTTCAATATGATGTCTGTTCTAATAAAGTGTAAGAATGCCTGTGATAGACTAACTAGTAGGAATTTTCTGGTTCTGTAGTTTAGCCTTAAATATATACATATATTTGTAAATTAATCAGAAACATATTGTCATGGTTTCAGTTCCTCAGAAAGCTGATTGTTTTCAATCCTTTCTTTAATCTTAGAAATATGGTGGCAGTCTGCCAGCACACTTTCAGATAAACAGTCCACTTCACATTTAAAAGCCGCAGAATCACTGATGTTGAAGGGGGGGAAAATCAACAGAAAACAACACCAATTTTTTTCTCTCTCTCTCTTCCCCAAAATGTAGAACATTATTTAAATAAATTGAAGTTGTTGTGCTATTGTCCCTC